GATGACATTTTTTGAGAGAATATAACATTTTCGACGGTTAGTCGTTTGTGATCGATGACAAATTCACTGAAAAGTTCATATGGGAGGAGCCACTAATTACAGAACATGGGGGGGAGGGGGGTTTGGCTTTTGGAATTAAATTCAAATTTAAAATTTTTTTTTTCAAAATAATTTTTATTTATTTTTAATTTAATTAATTAAAAATGAATCACTTGTTCAAAAAGCGTCTCTTTGCCCGAGCTCGCAAAGGTTGCTCTTGTGCCCTTCTTTCGATGCTGTTTATCTGAGCAGACAATGACCTTCCTTCCAACTGCGTTTTCTCGACTTGATTTACTCGTGCATCCTTGTCAAGACTACCATCAAGCTGATTTTGGGTTTTGTTCGGGTGCACCACTTTCATGTGAATCGTTAAATCAATGTCGGAGTGGACTCTACGATCGCAAAGGGAACAAGTTTTGACATCATCCTTAACGCTCGGAAACCCTTCATCCATTCTAACTCCTTCCACATTGTTTCGTTTTTCAAACGACAAATAATGACCAGGATTACTTTCATCGAGGATTGGAGATGGAATGAAACCATCAAACTTTTCCATCAATTCCCAATATTTAGTTGCTCTTTTTGGTGGACAGCAACTTGGATCATTGCACTTGCGGAGACAAAAGATGTTCAACCCATTACCATGCTCTGAGTGTGTGTGGAGTTTAAAAAGTATTGCCTTCACCTTCTTCTCTTCTTCCAAATCAGTAATATCTTTTCCTTCCAAAAAAGCATCAATGCTAGCAAAAGATGGCCATCCAGGTAAATCTCGAATACGGTCTTGTTGGAATACACTAGCATAGTACGCCTGTACATCCTTGCCACCCTTTTGGTTGAAGATATTTGTGAGTTTGATTAAAGCTGAATGATGATTCTGTTGCTTGCTTGCAAAACTTTCATCATCCAAATCAATAACACCCACCAAGCCTTTTGAAAGCGGAGCCATACATCGCTCAACACGATTGTACTTACTACCTCCTGCGGCAAAGGATGTGTGGATGAGAGCATCAAGGTCGAAGCAAATGAATACGTAGAACATCCTCACCTGCACCTTCCGGTTCTGGGGAGCAACGTTTACACAGTTGTCAGTGTTACAAAAAAATAACGGAAGAAGCTTTCCGGTTTCCTTCAGCTTCTCGAGGAAGAAAACCAGATCACACAACATCTTGTCCTTATCTCGACTAGT